GGGTTAGGGTTAGGGTTCAGGGTTTAGGGTTTAGGGGTTTAGGGGTTTAGGGTTTAGGGTTTTGGGGTTTTGGGGTTTAGGGGTTCAGGGTTTAGCGTTTAGGGTTTAGGGTTTAGGGGTTAGGATGAAGGGTGTTCGGAATTAGCGTTTAGGGCTTCGGGCAAGAATCTTGAACCGTGATTCTGCCAAGCCGCGCAAGCCAGTGGAGAAGGAAAGCACGCATAAGTCATCCTATTGCCATGCACGATAGGCTTCGTAACAATTACCTATACGATTTTGGTGGCTCCTTACTATAATGATTGTATAATTTACTCCAAAACCCACTTTCTAATTGCTAAGGCCCCTTCATTTTGCTTTGAGGGATTCGATACCGTTCTATCGGTGCTATGTCAAGTCACCAGGCGTAAGTTCTCTTCACGAGGGCCACAACGGGAAGGACGACGAAGTGAAGCAGGGGCTGCGGCTATGAAATACTAGATGGCACTCTGGGAGGCTTGAAAGTGTCCCTTATCTTATGGTCCCCATAGAGATGCCTATTCATAAAATAATAGTTACTTCTAAGGGCCTCGAAGCTACAACCCAGAATAGGGGTTTCTAGAGATGTTATTCGGTGGGTCCTATGATAGCTTTGGCCGGGGCTCGGGGCTCACGGGCTTGCTTCTTCCCCAGCAGAGCGAATTTCAGCTGGTAAGGGCAGCAACCCAACAATGAGGTCCCTACGATTATGGAAGCAGGTCCCTAAAACCAAACTACGGATAGTGTTTTGGGAAATCGGAAAATCCATAATGGTAACATTCATAGGTGTTTAAAATTAGGGCCCATTTCTAGGAACCCAAAACGAAGGCGGCACCCCGAAAGGGACTCTAACTTAGAGCACTACCTACTATAGAACTTAGAGCACCCTGATAGAAACCCTTATCGATCACTGTAAGGGCATGCTGAAAGGGACCGTTGAAGGGACTTGAAAAGAACTTTCCGGGATGGTCTTCAAGAGGCTTCACAGTCCGAAATGCACATGTTGAGTGCAATCGCGCGGAACGAGCGCACACCCTTGAACCCACTAAACCCTACAAGCCCTCTAAGCCCTAAGCCACAAAAAAGCCCTAAGCCCTTAAAACCCTAAACCCTACAATCCCTAACCCTATAAGCCGTAAACCTTGCGGGTATTGAGATCTTAGGGCAACAGGGTTTCACCCTAAACCCTAAACCCTAAACCCTAAACCCTAAACCCTAAACCCCGTTCATGCTTTGGGTTTAGGGTCCAGGGCTCTCCGTCGGGTTTAGGGCTTTCGGACCCCGGGTTACGTACCGCAACTTCAGGGCCCTTAATTATGAATTATAGTCTTGCATATTGTATCATATGTATATACACATGTATATTAGTATATCCATATTCTTATATGTTCATTTTTTGATATGCTGATGTTATATGTATGTATGAATGTATACATGTATGTGTTTGTACATGTATGTATTGTTTCTTTTATATGTTTATATATTTAAATAATTGTATATTGATATAATACATTTTCTGTGCTTTTATTTATTTGTTTATTTAACGATTTATTTATTCTTTCAGTTTTACAGTTAGAAATGTACAAAGGTCTATATCCCAGTGGCTCCATATATGCTACCATTATGGAATTAGGTCCCAAAAGATCATCCTTAGTAAGGTACATCTGGAGCCTCCGGGTATTCAAATAGATACGCATGTATGTATTACATGCTTATATATTTGTTCGTTATTGTTTCTATGTACAGATTGCAGCCCGAGGCAAGGAGAGTCTCCTCCAAGCGATGGAGGAGAACAGAGATGACAGGGGCTTTTCCCAGGCCGCCTGGCAGGGAGTTGAACCAGAATCCCAAAGTTAGGGGTTCTAGAGGTTTAGGGTTTAGAGTTTAGGGGCCTTGGGTTTAGGATTTAGGGTTTTAGGATTTTAGAGTTTAGGGTTTAGGGCTTTAGGGGTTTAGGGGTTCAGGGTTTAGCGTTTAGGTGCGGCTTCCAGAAGTTGCATAGGGTTTAGGGCAATAGGGGTGACATCCTGTGTTCAATGGTTCTGCTTTGAAGGGCTACTGGAAGGGTTTGATGAGGTTGTCTACTGTTTGATAGATTTGGGGTGCCCAGAGATCTCGCATTACCGCTTAGTTCCTGGGTCTTTATAGCTGGAAGCTTTTGCATGGTTAAAGAGCCCTTAATTTGGGAACACGGCTTAGGCCGTGTAGGAGTTCTTATATCATTACTGTTCGTAATTAAAGGCTCCTTGGTTTTGTGGTGGTCCATGGCTAATTCGGATCAATAAAAAACATCATGGATCACACATCACAAACTTTCGCATCACAGGAACCAACGGGTAGCTCGCTAAATCTGGTTCCCTCGTTCCAAGCTCGTATCCTCACTTGTGCACGGAGCCGGATCCTAGTTCAGAGAATCCCCGATCAGATGGGTAGTTCTCTCAGAATAACTGTGCTCTCATGTGTAGGAAATGCTCTTGTGATAGTTGTTATTCGTTCTGATTTCGATTGTAAACCAAGTCGATCTGTTATGTTCAGTCTCAAGTGAGGGTCCTTTTTAATTTTACGTCCCCAGAATAGTACGACACCCTTCTAAACAGCACCCTACAGCCTAAAAGGGATCCTAATTCCGAGAACTACCCATATAGCAGCCCTCCATTTTGTCTGCAAAGTTTTGGCTGTCCATGTTGAGTCTGAAGGTGCGAGAACCGAGCCACCAGACCCTCAACCCCAAGCTCTCATCAGCCCTTCCCCCTACACCCTCACAACGGATCTAGGCTTCAGGGTTTAGGGTTTAGGAATTCTAAACCAACTTTAAACCTAAACCCGAAACCTTAGACCGTAGACCCTAAACTCTAAACCCGAAGCCTTCATCTGGCCCTAAACCCTTTTATCGGCTCGCAGAGCCTTGAACCTTGAACCCCAAACCATAGACCCTACCTGGACCACCCAACTACCCGTTTATGGGAGGCTCTAACTACCTCCTAATGAGGAATATGAAGCCCCGTTAAGGGATACTGGCAGTTTCCAGGTAAACCCGAACCTAAACCACCATAACCTAGGTCTTTTGTAAGCTCTTATCTTAACCTTGATTCAGAATGTATAGAGGCCCGGCAAAAAGGTTGGGATGTCAAGGTTACGTAAACCCGAAGCCCTGGGACTCCGGATCTGTTCAAGCCAAGAGGTTCCGTAGGGTTTAGGGTTTAGGGTTTAGGGTTTAGGGTTTAGGGTCCCTAAAGCCACCATAACCCTAGGGGTCCAAATACCTAACAATCATATACCCTCCCCAATATTAACCTAGATAACTACTATGCGCAACCAAAGTACCTTATTATTGGGTCCTTTGGACCCTTTGGGGAAATAATGATTGTCTTCAAGGATGGTCTTTTGGGAAGTATATATGCACCCTCTAGGACTCTAGGAATTGAAGTATTAATCCCTGAACCCCGAATCCCTAAACCCTAAACCCTACCTTAACCCCAAAGAACCTACCTTTTTAAGGACTTATATACAGAAACTATAATAAGGAACCCTACAAAGGTAGGTTATCTGGGGTCCAGGTAAACCCTAAGCCCAAACGACCCCTTAAGGAAGGTCATCCTCGAAGGTCTATTCCTGAATCAGGGAGGCTTGGGCTCTCTGGGAAGTCCAAAGACATCGGACCCAAGGCGATCTACGACTTCATACCCTAAACCGCTAAGCCCCTAAAACCCCCAAACCCCTAAAACCCTAAACCCTGAACCATAAACTCCTAAACCGTAAACCTTCAACTCCTAAACCCTAAAC